ATGTGCATGTACTTGTAAATATCAAATCTAAGTGAACAGCGAGTAGCTTCCTCATTCTATCAATGAAGTTACGCATCCTTTTTCTAAGTGACCTTTGACCTTTGTCAATCACTTTGAGTTAAAGTTTTAACAGTAGGCCTACGGTAATATGATTATGATGATTTGTACGTCATTAAAATTTAGAATTAGCTGCAGTATTAATAATTATTACAACCTGGTGTGTTGTACTACTATCAAAGATAGAGTATCGTCGGGTGTACTGTTATTTGCTTCTATTACCCCATTTAAAGACGTAAACAAAGCTTTGACACTGAGCGCTTATCCTTGGCATTCCTTCTCCGTTCCTCATCCCACAGTGTCATTGTTTGGGTCGTTGCTTATGGATCGTTGATCGTAGGCCTACCAATCTTTGAATCGTGAAAACGCGACCGACGCGACCCTTGAGGCGCAGTCGCTATGCGTTACCCGGGTAAACAATATGGCGATGTGAGACGCCTCCTCACCACACAACTATCTATCGATCGATGGAACGACACGGAAAGGGGGCATTCCCACACCTCGAAGCCCACATCTACATTTCGTTTCGAGATACTTCGCAGTGTGACAGCAAAATGGTTTTCTACGGGAAAGAAAAGTTTTTGTGATTTACAAACATCGGGAAGCGGTAACATTTCGACGATAACGTAACCGGAAACGATACCACCGGTAAGCACCATTTGTTATTGTTATAGAGTCTAGTAATGACATCTAATGAACTACTAAAAACAGACTGTTAGAAATAGTAGATCTAAACTAGACTAAATTGATAATTATCTAGATCTAGCCTGAAATTCTTAGTAATGTCTCTGTAAACTATGTGAAAATTTGTTGTTGACATTGTCGCGACATCAAATCGACCAAACTGTAGGCCTATACTGGATTTTACGTTCACTCTAACTTTCGGCAGCCGAAATAGCTCAGTTGGGAGAGCGTTAGACTGAAGATCTAAAGGTCCCTGGTTCAATCCCGGGTTTCGGCACGGAACATCCGGCGGCTCGCCCATTTTTTTTTCTTCCTTCTGAGATTCTTGTTGCCTTTTATATGATAATCTATACCAAGCTTTTTTTTTCTCAGGATTTTTGTCCCCTTATCCTGGTACATCGTTTGTCTGCTCTCGTTTCTTATCAGTTTCCTTCTCGCGTGCAATTATATGAGACCAGAAATACATTGCAATAGATAACGACATAAAATTGGTCTAATTGGAGTTGGATTCTGAATATTACATTCGTTATCCTTTTTTTTTTTTTACCTTGATTTGAAATTTCTGTTCTTCCTATCACCGGATTTATTATGAGTCTGAGTGTCTGCGTCGGTGTATGTGTTTATTATTTACATGTATATTATAGCCTATAATAATTATGTTACGGTAGGTTGTTCAGTGATTGGAGAATTATTCGTTGTAGCCTGATCCTTTAAAGTTATTATTATTATTATTTT